TGTCACTTTTGAACTGGTTGTAGTGTGCTTCTCCACAAAATACTCTAATAAAAAAATCAAGGCATTGTTCAATTCATTTCTTTAAAAAATCCCTTTTTTGTCCCAGTTATTTTCAGATTTATATAATTATATCTGATTTTGAATTGGGAAAAAATTTTCAGTAAAAATTAAAATTGTACCATGAGAAAAAAATAATGTCCTGCCCTGATCATGCTGAATGCCCCTGATATCATAAAGGCTAGATTTGTTTACACTTGCATGTATTCAAAATTATCAAAAATCAAAAAGTCAGGGTATATTACTCTACAAAGTACCAAGAAAACCAATAAAAACTAGAACTGTCCAACGGGACAAAATACCCCCCGCTGGGTTTTTCAGAAGTAAGTTTTTCCATAATAAAAATATGTATCAAACATGAATTATGAAATTTTTCTTCCAGTGACCTTGAACTTCCCCAAATGACCTTGGGTCAAGGTCATGACACTACCTTAGGTCATGGGCAATCTTTGTGTGAAATGACAACCTACCAAGTTTATCCATAAGAAAGATATGGACCGGACACGAATTATGAAATTTTTCTTTCAGTGACCTTGAACTTCCCCAAATGACCTTGGGTCAAGGTCATGACACACCCTTGGGTCATGGGCAATCTTTGTGTGAAATGAGAACCTACCAAGTATATTCATAAGAAAGATATGAACCGGACACGAATTATGAAATTTTTCTTCCAGTGACCTTGAACTTCCCCAAATGACCTTGGGTCAAGGTCATGACACACCCTTAGGTCATGGGCAATCTTTGTGTGGAGTAGTAGATTCTAATGTCCCTCTGTAAGAAAGATATGGACCGGACACGATTGCACAGACAGACGGACAGACAGACGGACAAGGTGATTCCTATATACCCCCCCAAACTTTGTTTGTGGGGGGTATAATAAATTCTGGCTTCCTGGGGTCCGGTTTACAAAAGAACTTACGACTAAGACCAAAAATTTCAGATTATTGTAAAATTTGGCAAAATTAATAATTCTCTTTGAACATGTTGAAATTGTTTACGTAAAATATATCTTACCACATTCCTTTTAAATATTAAATTAATTTTCGATATTATGTTAATTAAAAAGTTATATAAACAGGGGTTTAAATTTTCCCTAAACATTCACTGGTCCCAGGACTATTAAGCTAGTAAATTTCACTAGTCCGTATCATAAAATTATTAGTCCAAAGTTTGAAAAAAATATGCTTAGTTTTAATCAATTCTTAATCAATTTGATTACAGTGGGGTTTTTTGTCAGTACTTTGGGACTGGGGGCTTGGGCCCTAAGAATTGGGAATTTCAGCTTCAATTTGGCTAAATTAATTGGGGAATCTCCTAGAAAACCTAGTCATTAAAACAGCATTGTCAAAATGCTTTTTTTGTCTTTGTATTACTTAAACAAACAATTGTTATCACAAATCAAGACTATTCTTGGTATGAATTATCTAATTAGTTGCATCAAAAACAATAGTGGTATGAATTAACTTACGAAGAAATTCCAACATGGCTGAACAAACACAAAAACCTGCTTGAACTCTACTTTAAAACATGCAATAAACAAACTGAATTTGATCACATATTTCGTAAGTTTTTCTTTGGGATAACTTCCACTACATTTAAGGAAAATACAGGCATATTTTCCATTGGAACCGGGGCCGAATTTCGGCCCAAAAAATATCAAAATATTTTTTTCTTCTCAAAAACTACTAGTCCGACGGACTATCAAAGGTAACAATTAGCTAGTCCACCCCCATAAACTTTAGGTCCTGGACCTCGGACCACAGTATTTCTAAACCCCTGATAAAGAATTAAATTTGGTCTTAAGTCGCAAGTCCTTTTGTAAAACGGGTCCCTGGCTTACAAGTTCAGAAAAACTCAGTACCAAGAAAACCAATAAAAATAAATTTTGACTTCCTGGCTTACAAGTTCAGAAAAATTTCTCCTACCAGCTGTTAATCTTGCCAGTTACCAATCTGATAAATTTTGAAAACATATTATTACTCTTTTTTTTTCTCCTCAAACAAACATTGCAGTTCCATACAGTTTCTCTCAGGAATTTCCCACATAAAATGAACAGCTTTAAGTTTTTAGACTAATTCATACCTAGGTCATTTCCAAAGAGGATTCTTTTAACTGCTCAGTTAATAAATATTTTCAAATACCTCTCAATAACTCATACATCTTCAGCTTGTACAGATCACAGTGCCCAGGTATAAAAAAAAAACATTTAAATTCCTAAATCTGGCCCCAGGATCATGAAACAGACTTAGGCTTAAATCAAATTTTCAGTTGCCTGTCAAATGTTTATTAATAATTGAATTCATCTCAAAATTTGCTTATAACAACATTTAATTTTATGAATCAATATTGAAAGATATTTGAATTTTGATCTGTTTGCCTTCCACAAAATTTAAGTACATGAAGATTTTGACTTATGCTTAAGATGTTTCATGATCCCAAGGCCAGATCCCTATAGTTACCTGTACATTACAACTGAAGACTTTTTCTTCAGATATCTGGCGTCCATGCGCTTTGTGATGGCCACATCGTCCAACCTGGCACAATAGAAGTGGAAAGTTTTAGAACATTTGGATATAGCACATCCAGCGGTGGCCCCTTGTACTTTCCCAAGCCTGCTTTTGTCCGACTTGCATATGGAGCATTTCTACAAATAAAGTGCAGTGTAAAGAGAATGTATAGAGGAAAATCATAGCAATGTTGATACACAGACTTCACTATTATTTCTTTCTTCAGATGACTTACCAATCTCTTTCCTCTCTGTATTTCTTTTTCAACTTTGTCGATTTTAAATCCTCCAAAACTTGCAAATTTGTACTGCACAAGATCAGCTGAATATTGCTATAAAACAAAGAGAGAAATATCTATTATCTGAATTTTATCCACAAATGTCTGACACAATTACTTTTCTTCAAGTCAAACTGGTGTTATTGTATGTGCAACATACAATGTGAAAATGTATGTCAAATTCAGCATGCGGAGCATCCTAAGACGTATCATCCATGTGAGTCTGCACAACATAGGGCTAATAGTTACTTAGAAATAAAACCTGTATAAGAATTTAACCTATTAACTCATCCAGAAAAAAATGTAGGTCAGATTCAGCATAGGAAGCCAGCCTGGTAGAATGCAACCTTAGACGTATCATCCATGCAAGTTTGGTCATTAAAGAGCTCATATTTACTTGGAAATGAATCCTGCATCAAAAACTTTAACCTGTTCACACATCCAGAAAATGTAGGTCAGATTCAGCATCCGAAGCAAGTCTGGTAGTATGCATCCTAAGATGTATCATCCATACAATTTTAGTCATTATAGGGCTCATTGTAACTTGGAAATGAAACCTGCCCCAAAAACTTTATCCTGTTCACTCATCCAGAAAATGTAGGTCAGATTCAGCATACGAAGCAAGTCTGGTAGCATGCATCCTAAGATGTACCATCAATGCAGGTTTGGTCATTATAGGGCTCATTGTATCTTGGAAATGAACCCTGCACCAAAAAATTTAACTTGTTCACTCAACCGGAAAATGTAGCTCAGATTCAGCATCTGAAGCAAGCCTGGTAATGTGCATCCTTAGATGTATCATCCATGCACGTTTGGTCAACATAGGGCTAATAGTTACTTGGAAATGAGACCTGTACCAAAAAACATTAACCTGTTCACTCAACCAGAAAATGTACGTCAGATTCAGCATCCGAGGCAAGTCTGGTAGTGTACATCCTTAGATGTATCATCCATGCAAGTTTGGTCAACATAGGGCTTATTGTGTCTTGGAAATGAGACCTGCACCAAAAACATTAACCTGTTCACTCAACCGGAAAATGTAGCTCAGATTCAGCATCCGAAGCAAGCCTGGTAATGTACATCCTTAGATGTACCATCCATGCAAGTTTGGTCAACATAGGGCTTATAGTTCCTTGGAAATGAGATCCACACCAAAAACTGCACGAAAAATGTTAACCTGCTCCAAAAACATTAACCTGGTCATTCCTTTGCTGAAATTGCAGCATCTGAAACTTTGACTGGTACAATGACACACATTAGAAGCATCTTCCATGCATGTCTAATCAATATAGGACATAGAAACTTGTACTTAAATAGAAAACTGCTCCAAAAAAACTTAACCTTAATCTGGGACGCCGACGCCGAGGGTATTACATAAGCTCCCCCAACTTCGTTGAGGTGAGCTAAAAATGTTAAGAATTTTGGAGCAAGAAAAATCATTTTTACTTTGGCCTGGTGTATTGGCAATTACATGCAACTAAAAATTCAATTTAGAGAGTCCAAAATCTCTTTTGATTTTCTAGAACTGCTTATTTTCTAGAACTCATATAAACTGGTTATGAGTTAACAGCATTAGACTATTTGTACATATTGACAATATTTAATGCAAGCTGAAGGCAGCAAAAGTTCTGTAGAGTACCTGTAAACGATTAATGTGCCTAGTGTTAACATTTTCCAAGCAAAGAAGAATCAAAATCACAAAAAACAAGATGTGTTTGTGAAACACTATGCGCCCAGCGGCAACAAAGTTTGAAAAAGCTATTTTTAGCATATAGGTCACAGTCAGGGTCACAAGGTCATTGACCTTGGTGTCGTTTGAAAGAACTTAATTAGTGGAGTATGCATATTAAATGTGAAGTCACTATCTCCTATGGTTCAAAAGTTATGGCAAAAAACAGAAAAAAGTAGGGCTGAAACGATACACCCCCTCCACAATACGATACATATTGCAATACTTGTGTCACAATTCAATTTTTTCAATATTCAGATTTCAAACCAGAAGTCTCTGTCGAGACTGAAGCTCTACTGGTTTGTACTTATAGCAAAGGAAGAGAAAAGTACTTAAGCAGTTGGAAATTGAAATTTTTCAACAGCAATAAATAGAATAATGATCCTTGATTAAGTCTCTTTATGTTCGTAGTGCAGTCTACTTGCATGCCACATTTATATTATAATCAGACTAAAATTGTATTTGGAGTAGCATTTTGAAAGAATTTCACAGAAAATTCTATTTTTAGTAACCACGGCAACACCGTTCATCGAAATCAAAAACCGATATACAGAATTATGTATCTTATTGTAGTCTACTTGTGTGCCAAGTTATATTGAAATCAGAATAAAACTGTAGAAGGAGTAGCATTTTGAAAGAATTTCACAGAAATTTCTATTTTTAGTAACCACGACAACACCGTTCATCGAAATCAAAAACTGATACACAGAATTATGTATCTTATTGTAGTCTACTTGTGTGCCAAGTTACATTGAAATCAGACCAAAAGTGTAGAAGGAGTAGCATTTTGAAAGAATTTCACAGAAATTTCTATTTTTAGTAACCACGGCAACACCGTTCATCGAAATCAAAAACCGATACACAGAATTGTGTATCTTAGTGTAGTCTACTTGTGTGCCAAGTTATATTGAAATCAGACTAAAACTGTAGGAGGAGTAGCATTTTGAAAGAATTTCACAGAAATTTCTATTTTTAGTAACCACGGCAACACCGTTCATCGAAATCAAAAACCGATACACAGAATTATGTATCTTAGTGTAGTCTACTTGTGTGCCAAGTTATATTGAAATCAGACCAAAACTGTAGGAGGAGTAGCATTTTGAAAAATTGTTTACAGACAGACAGACGGACAGACACACATTTGGTTATATATTGGGTACATCAAGTCCAAGTCCTATTGGATACTGCTTATTGGATACAAAAAAAGTGTACACACGAGAGAGCATTATTTGGGTAGTTACTGTTCAAATCTTATTGGATATTAATCCTCGTGTCCGTATTTTATTGGGTTTTTTCTTATTGTCTTTTATTTATTTCAAAATTATTATATATTTAATATTTGCTGGTAAATTCAGACAAGTCTGAAAACCTTTGGTTTTGAACCCATATTTTTGTCAATTTCTGTGATATAGCTCTTTTATTGTATCACCTAACTAATTTGTTCTTAGCAATAAGGATATACACCTGTATATTTCAAAATATCTAATCGTAAAATATATGAATACCTAAGTGCAAAAAAACTGAATTGTGAAAACACAACGCAACACATCTCAGACTCTGTTCAACCTTTCTTGAATAACAAAATTAGGTATTTAAGGAGAAACCTTTTTGAGTCATGACCAAAAAGCAAATGCCCATTACATGTTGGTCAGAATATTTAATGAAGGTATCCAACAGGCATTGGACAGGTGTCCAATACCTGTTGGGTTGTATTTTGACGAAGGGATTAAACTATCCAAGAACAATTGAACATGTGTACATTGTCCAATTCTATTTGGGTTTCTTGAATCTCCTCATCAAAATACAACCCAACAGGTAATGGACACCTGTCCAACTCCTCTTGGATATCTACATCCCACCCAACAAGTAATGGACACTTGTCCAATTCTTCTTGGGTTTCTTGAATTGTTTCATCAGAATACCACCCAACAGGTAATGGACACCCGTCCAACTCCTCTTGGATATCTACATCCCACCCAACAGGCATTGGACACTTGTCCAATTCTTGGGTTTCTTGAATTGCATCATTAAAACACAACCCAACAGGTAATGGACACCTGTCCAACTCCTCTTGGATATCTACATCCCACCCAACAGATAATGGACACTTGTCCAATTCTTCTTGGGTTTCTTGAATTGTTTCATCAGAATACCACCCAACAGGTAATGGACATCCGTCCAACTCCTGTTGGATATCTACATCCTACCCAACAGGCATTGGACACTTGTCCAATTCTTGGGTTTCTTTAATCTCCTGATAAAATACAACCCAACAGGTAATGGACACCTGTCCAACTCCTCTTGGATATCTACATCCCACCCAACAGGTAATTGACACTTGTCCAATTTTTCTTGGGTTTCTTGAATTGTTTCATCAGAATACCACCCAAATGGTAATGGACATCTGTCCAACTCCTCTTGGATATCTACATCCCACCCAACAGGCAATGGACACTTGTCTTATTCTTGGGTTTCTTGATGAATCTCCTGATAAAATACAACCCAACAGGTAATGAACACCTGTCCAACTCCTCTTGGATATCTACATCCCACCCAACAGGTAATGGACACTTGTCCAATTCTTCTTGGGTTTCTTGAATTGTTTCATCAGAATACCACCCAACAGGTAATGGACACCTGTCCAACTCCTCTTGGATATCTTCATCCCTTCAATAGTATATAAACTAAAAGGTATTGGACATTCTTCTTGGGTTACTCAAATTTTTTTTCATAAGAAAGAAAACCCAATAGGTATTGGACATTGGTTCAACTCTTCTTGGATATTACATCCCAACATTAGAATAAAACCCAACAAGTGATGTTTACCTGTCCAATTCTTCCTGGGTTACTTATACCCTTCATTAAAATTGTCAAATTTGTCTGGGATATTTACACTTGCATTAGATTGCAAATCCAATAAGTATGATATTTACCTTCTCTAGTTGAATTCAAATTTGTCTGCATAAGCATACATAAGTCCAAAACATATTTAATACTTTAATTCTAACATTCCACATCTCATTCAGTGTAAACTTTACAAATGATTGGAAATATATAAGCATTTTGTGCCTAAACTATTTGGCTTTTAAAGAATTTTATAACCATGTTTGCAAAAATTTAAATTTAAATATTGGAACTTGGAGCAAGTCATTACAGGTAGAGCAAGATGCTGAAAACCATATTGATAAATAGATCACACCCTTGATAAAATATTTGCCTTCAGTTGCTAAGAATGTGTTGTATTATATGGAAAATTTCTATGATCCTGTTTATTACAGATATATATACAATGCATATTTTCCCTGTAATAATAAAAATACTTCTGAGATGTAAAAGAATGGATTAAATAGTCACCGATGTTAAAAGATATTACATTATCTCATTAATCTGGTTTGGAAATCACAAACTTAGTTTTGAAGCCGATAAAACAGTGTCGCACCAGAAAACTCAGTTACAAGTACAATGAATCAATTCCTTGTATCAAAACTTTAAAACAATTGATGCACTATGTCCAAATCTTTTCGACAAATTGGGATAAAGATATTAAATCAAATCATCACTGTTATAAGTCTTAGAGCTAGAGAAAAGTCATTACATGCCCAAATTTTACATGCAAGATTTTGATCCTATATTTCAATAAATGTAAAAATGGTTTTATTTTTGTTTCTGTTCAATACTTTCTTCTTCAGGGTCTCTCATGGCCTATACTGTATGATACCTCCATTGACCCTGCTCTTTTATATTGCCATATATTTATCCAGTAGCAGTGGTTATGCTCAGGCAATCTTTGAAATATTCCTCATTTCATGCATCTCCTTCAGTTCTGCCTTTGTCCATTTTATTCATCCTGCAATTAAATAAAGGCATTTCTTTGCCGTATAAAACATGTTTTTCTTGACTACAACAAGATCACCCTTTATGTTGATCAAACCCAACCAAGTAGAAGTATATTTCTTATTCAGAAATATGTATTGATAAATAAAATGAAAGAAAAACTAAATTCTATCAACTCTTTTTTTTCTTCTACATGTAACTGCAACTTCATCCTACCCCCCATCCGCCATAATTCTATCAAAATGGAATCATCATTCAAAACACAAAACGATGTTGCATATTAATTAGACAGTATGTTAGTTTCTGATTCTTAAGTTTAGGAGATTTTAAAAAGATTTTACATCTATTCCTTGCAGTTTTAGACTTCTAATGTAAGACTATCGGTACATTAGGGGTACATAATCTTCAAAAACATCTCTACACTTAATGATAAAGCTTTCACATTAGCATTGTTTTTAGCCCAATAGTTCTGCTAAGAGGATTTAAAATTGACCCAAACCTTACTAACTGCTTTGAAAATATATTGACAGGGACAGAGACACACTTGACATTCCATCCCCCTTCCTGGGGGTATGCTTTGCACAAAATTTAATTAAAATTGACTAAGCTGGATAGAAGTTGAAAACATGAAAAATTACAGTCAAACAGATTATGAATAACTTACAGCACATCAGACATGAAGCAGTGATCCTTAAATAAAATACACCTACAAGATGAAGCTGTTTTATTCCTTTGAAGTGATATCTAGTATTGTTTCTTTTCCTGTATGCCACCTCTATCAGAACAAAATGTTATACATGTATTAACATAACCTATGACCGTATAGTACCCCAGTATTTACTTTACAATTAATTAAGTTCTGGAACCAACCCTCAGATGCCCTTCAAACAAATGATTCTAAACTGGCAAAGGTAAAGGGCATCTGAAGAATATAAAATGAAATGATAGTACAAACAAGCAAACAGTGTGCATGAAAATGTTGGCAAACACTAGAAAATATACTAAGATACTTTCTCAAACTTAACATGAATACTAAAGAGGTTTTATGTAGCTGTATTGCACATACCAAAAGCTTTCCTGTAGTTAAAGGTTGGTTGCCTAGTAGTTATGTAGCATGTACAAGTTTTTTCCCTCTATCTCTTCTAATTTAAGAAGCGAAAATGTCTCTAAAAATCTTATGGTTGGCATGAAGTATTCCTGTCTATTTTACTGATTACTTACAATTGTCCTATTTCTGAGGGTCATCTTCTGATGAGTGTGTTCTCTGCAATATTCACAATCGAAGTTCCAGTTTGACCTGTTACATATTGAAAATCCTCAATGAACATGATTATGGTTTTAATTTCCGTTGTAATTATTGATTACTTTTATAAAAAAAAAATCTAAACCAATTTATTGTAACATAATACTTAGGAAAATATTTATGTAAATCAATGGAAAAAAGGAATCATTATCTCCAGTTATCCTAAAATCACAAATAAGCATTAATCATATAAATTCACATAGGTAAACCCATTAGCTTTTTGTGCTATTAAACCTATGCAATAAAGGAAATCAAGTACTAATACACAGCTTGGTGGCAGTAAAGTTACAATCCCCGAGTAAAAAAGTGACAAGCCCAAATATAGAGGCAAAAATTAAAAAGTAACATTGAAAAAAAAAATCATCGTGAAAAAAGTCAGGGTATTAACTACAGATGATTCTTTTTAAAATTAAAGTTTTATTTAATTTTTGCTAGTAAAATTTTATCATACATAAATTAATGATTTAAAAAAAATGAAAAAAAAGATTTTAAGTATTCCTTTTCTGGTCATTCATTAGTTCGTCTAATTAAAACGAAGCAAAAATCATTTTGTTTTCATCTTGAACCATTTAAAGCCATTTATGGCGTATGTACAATGAAAATTATTAGACTAAAATTATAAGAACTTATTATTTGTATCATTACTTTATATAAACATGATAAAGATAGAAATTTTCCGTAAATTACAAAATCTAAGTCAATTGCGTTATAAAGATATCTGAATTTAAATTGGATTCTCGCAATTTTCTCCGACTCGGAAGGAAATATAGATTTAAACAACACATTACAGAGAAGATAAAATCGTATTATTAGATGAAACGAGGTGTTCTCCGTGTTCAGAGTTGTATGAAAAGTTTTAATTTCAATGTATTTCTTTACTTAATTTTGTACTTTTCAAAATATATGTTTTGATCAGTTACGCCATATATGGCTTTAAAAAACGCTACATAATTGCATGACACTTATCATTGAGCTGATTGAGTGAATGCATATAATTTAATAATTAGATATCTGTGAGGCATATATGTATAAGCAAATATTGCTATATTAAACAAAGGAAAGGGGGGATTCAAATTAGGAAATAAAAGATCGTTTTTAAGTAAATCAGTCTTGTAGTACTGCAAAATGGATGCAGTTGTGGAGATTTATGGATAATATGAGTATGCTGTCTGGAATATTTCCATATTAGGGAATTTAGCGCAGAAAACCACTAGCCGAATCCTCAAAAATGGAAGCTCCAGGTGTAGCGCGATGCTAATCACACACCCATCATGTGAAATAGTTATAGTAGCCCTATATCAATTTCAGTATTGTTTTAAATTAATTAAAACAAATGACAAAAACAATAATTTAAAAAAAAAAACAAATCAAAATAAAGCGCGGCGCCATGCCAAAATTAATAAATAAGCCCAGTTTATGCAATATTCCTTTGCTGTTCTGTTTATCAAGTGCATGCTGATAATCCCTTTATTTAAACAACGACAGGAAATCACTTCACACTTGAATGCACGCACACAGCCACCTGGCTAATTAACATGCCTCAGGCTGTCAGGGTAGAGAATTTAAGTTAAGAAACTGTCATTTGATTGCATTGAATATGAAAGAATTAGCCCTAGACCAAAGATAAATAAATTTGTAAATTATTAACTAATAAAAATCAGGATCGTTTTTTTATAAACCGAGAGTAGAATAAAACACATAATACAACTTGAAGAAAAAAACGGATATTTTCTCTGAATAAAATACTTACAATGTACCAAAAAACTGAATGTAATGTGATAAAAAGGTTTAAAAACAACCAACTAAGTTAGTTTCTTTGATTGAACTGATAGATTTGACAAGCTGAGGGTCAAAGTTTCTAATTAAAGCCAGATTTTTTTTTTTTAACAAATTATGCATGGCAGTAAGACCAGTTTTCACATGATCCTATTTTCCAAGTAAAGAGAATGGTCTCTACATGTATTTTTCAAAATGCCCATCCCCCTTCCCTGAAAAAAGTATTTTCCTTTAATGTTTAAATTGACTGTACTTGTAAACAAATAACAGTCCAAGCAGGTAAAAAAACAATCATACCTCCAAACGTTAATAATTTTTGCACCTGTTTCAGCTAGATTAATACCATTACTTTCTCAAGTGTAACCTTACTCCTTCTTTATTGAAGAAATTGGATGTAAATGCCTTTTTTAATATTCTTTTTGTTTCTGAATCAATAATTAAAACATTGTTTCAAAAAAAAAGAATGAAATACAGATATTTGAATTTATCTTTAAATTACTTGTTTTAGAAAAAGATTTCAATATAAAAGGATATTAAAAGTAATTAAACATGTTAAAATATGTAAAAATTAAAAAATGTTAAATATAATTTCAATGACATTAACATTTGTTTTCAAAGTGCCCTCGTGAGATCCTGTCGCGACACAAAGTGCCCTTTTAATTCCTTGATTACCATGCCCTTTTTAGGGTCTAGATTTAACATAAAAGACAGAAAGAAGCACTGTTTTGACTGAAAGTTTTTCAGTAATACAATGAATCTCTTAAGTTACATATCAGATGAGATAAACTTACATACAATTATTTAGTTGTTGTCAATTATCCCATTTATCATCATCTCAGCTCACTTTGCGATTGTTATACTGTCTACATGAACTGATAATTTACAGCTGATTTATGA